TGTGCTCCATGCAAGCTCTTGTGTGAGTATGTGGTGTGTGTGTGTGTGTCCTGGTGTGTGTGTGCTGTGTTGTGGTGTATGTATATATATTATATATATATATATACTATATATATATATATATATATATACATATACAAATAGAAACACACAGAAGCAAATTTCGATGCATGGTTATGATGCAAGACAGAAAAATACATTACTTAACAATTGCTAAAGATATCCTTAAACTTGCACGTCATTCAGGGCTGAGCGGACTCGCGCCAAGGTCGCACGCACGATTCTATCCCTGCCTGTGGAAGATTTTCAAGATGGTTTTTGTAGGATACATTGTTGCGTAATTAGACGGATACGTGTGTGTGTGTATCTATGTGTATATATATATATATATAATATATATATATTAATATATATATATATATATAATATATATATATATATTGATGGATAGATATATGGAGATACAGAAATAGGTAGATGTAGATATGGATAGATAGATAGTTGATAGTTGATAGATAGATAAAGATAGAGATACAGATATAGATAGATTCATAGAGATAGAGAAATATAGACAGATATGAATATATATATAGATTGCTAGATAGATAGATTATATGTTTACATATATACACATCTCTATATATATGTATGTGTGTATGAATTGTGTGTGTGTGTGTGTGTGTGTGTGTGTGTGTGTTGTGTGTGTGTGTGTGTGTGTGTGTGTGTGTGTGTGTGTGTATGTGTGTGTGTATGTGTGTGTGTTGTGTGTGTGTCTGTGTGTGTGTGTGTGTGTGTGTGTGTGTGTGTGTGTGTGTGTGTGTGTGTGTGTGTGTGTGTGTGTGCCTCTGCGTGTGCGTACTATTCAGAAGTATTTCCAGCATGAGAAGAAGGAAATTCCAAGAGCAGGTTTCAACGTACAATGTCCCCAAAACAGGCGTGTTGCTAGAATCACTTTTTCAGTTCTTCTCTATATGTATTCGTTCGCTTACAATATATCTTCGTGCTTTTCATTATGCTGTATAACAAACACGCAGGCCGACGAAGGATGGTCTGTTCTGAAATCTATCAGAAGCCTAAAGCAGATTTCAAGAATGCTCCTACGCAGCTGACGGCCCGGAGCGCTCGTGAAGTGAGTGCAGCAGCGTTGAATTTCGCACGCCACGCAATTTGGAATGTTGCCGCCGCACTGTATGCAAATAAACAAACAAAAGACTTCATTGCCAACTGCTATGAATATCCTCCGTGTTTTTGTCTGTGTCCCCAGGCTCCGGGAGTTTTTCTGTCTAGCATTGTCTTAATTTTACTGGTTAACATTATTTGAATTTTGCAATGAAAAAACAAACTAACAAAGGTGCCGAAAACATCGCTGTAACTATCCTTGGCGATCTAACTGAAACCAGAAGATTCTGGGCATAGTCTCCCTTATATGGCGGTTGCTTTAACGACTAGTAAGACGTGGTATTGGCGACTAAGTAGATTTTTATCGAAAATTTTGTATTAGATATTGCACAATGCACAAATTTGTGTATAGCATATCTGCTAAATTTGTGAATTAATTGAAAAATAAACTCCATTTTCATGAATATGCACTTTGATGGAATCCACCATGGTATCAGTTCTAAGTATTATCAAGATTAAACAACCAATGCATCTAGAAAGAAGGCTTTTCACGGCAATTACTTTCCCCGCCGGTCGTGACTTGCTCTTAGCGGGCACAACGATACCTCAGGCAAGGTGAGTTGAGACTGAGCGGTCTGATCCGGCCGCCGCCGGTTACATACTGGTTCGAGCTGAACCAAACCGAACGGGCGATGACGTCTAAAGTATGACACCAATGTTCGCCGCTACGGTAAAGTGTCCTTCTCTTGTAGGCAAATTTGATCTTCATTCGTGCCTCTCACCTGTGAAGATCACTTTGGTCCATCATCAGTTGCGTTCACTTTGTCCCTTAATATTTCACTGATTTCGAGTTGCGGGGCGGAGTCAAATCTTTCTGTAATGGCAAGATGCCTCGTGTGAGGAACTTCATTTCATGACAGGAGAGTTTGGAACATGACTGTGTATTTTACTGGTATATATTTAGCATAGGGGAGTTGATTCTACAGCGCCTGCAAAGATTCTTATAGCTTCCAGATAGAGCGTCTTCCAGATAGAGCGTGTTTTATTTATGTACTTAGTATTTCTAAATTAGATCTATTGTCATACAGAGGTATTTATGTGTTATTCTGATATCAGGATTTCATCACATAAGAATTGCCTTCAGTTTGCTCTCAGTAACTCGACCCGCATTGCGCACCAGCGTTCAGGCGCTCTTCAGGGGAACCTTCCACAAAGGGAGGACCAAAAGGTCAGATTTGCTACGGCCTAATCGCAAGGCGCTGAGGTTGGGATCGGGCCAGACTCGAGTCTTCGGGAAGTCCGTTCAAAAGTTTCCTTCTGCTGCAGTCACGCCCCAGGGCGTGTCTAGAAAAATCTGGTTCTTGCCATGGAAGTGGGGCGT